TTTAACATAATGGGTAATCTCTCACACACACTCTGGAAGGGCCTTTGTTCTTCCATTTTATTTTGGGTCTTGGATCTCTCTCTTTCCTTTTTTTCCCCCCTAGCTTTATTGAGATATAATTAACATGTATTGTGTTAAAGATGTACAATGTGATGATGTGATATATGAATATACGGCAAAATGATTACCACAATAAAGTTAAACATCCTTCACCTCATATAGTTATACTTTGTGTGTGAGAGGAATTTTAGGATTTACTCTCTTAGTAACTCTCCAATATACAATACAGTATAGCTAACTATAGTAAAGAAGGATCTTTAGATGTGGATGCTGAGTAGCAGAAAAAGAATTTCTACTTCAGTACCAAATCTCCTACTGCTTAGTGACTCAGGTGCAAGAAAAACATTCTGATATCTTCTAAAGATGTAGAGGAATGGACAACATCCAAGGCAGTATATCTACGGCCCATATACCAAATCAACTATCCAGGTTTGGCACTTTTTTCATTTTTTTTTAAGCTCTTATTATGGACATTTACCTCAGGGTGTGGAGGTGCCAGATAAGACAGGTTGGTCTAACGTGGGGAGTATAATGTACTTCACTCATTTTGACACCCAAGCTTATAGCCCTGCTTTCTGGGTCAACTGAATTTGTAATCCCTGGACTACATCTTTTAAACATTTTTTTGTGGACATTTAGTTTGAATTATAAAGGAGTATAGAATTCCTAATCTTTCCTCCAATTGCTATTGGACTTCAAAAACAAGCAATTTTCTTATTTCAGAAAACAGGGAATTCAATGAGTTAAATTTCTTTCTAATCTATGAAGAAATGACTGAGTGAAGAGGGCTATCAGAGCAGGTATTGTATTTAGAAAAATGTATATTTTCCACTTGAAGCAAAGGATGATTTTCTTTCTCTATCTAGACCACACTTCAGGCCAGAAGCAAAAGCAAAAGTCAGAGGTAGAAGGGCTATACAACTATGAACCTGGGGCCACTACTATGAGATTCTAGATTCTTTGTAATTTCCCTGTAGTTGTTACTTACAATTCCTCGGTTTAGTAAGAATGATTATTAATAAGATATTTCAAAAAAACAAGGAACCCAAAGTGTATCATTATGGGCACTAAAAAGAGGAAGTTACAGCAAATGCATTCTACCCCTACAGGAAGTCTTAAAGAAGAGGATCCCAAAAGAAGTCAATGGATTATTGTACTGAGTAAAGAGGGAAGCAGGCTGGGTCTGTCTTCTGACAAGAACAACTACAAAAATAACGAAAGATTAAAAAGGAAGTAAATAAGACAGGGAGTCCATCAACCTGGGATAGGAGCGAAATGAAGTAAAATTCATATATAGATAGATAGAGATATATAGATATAGATACACACAAACATATACTTGGGATTTTTTGGCATTATCTTATGTAGAAAGTTACTAAGCAAAATACTGTACTAATTAAGGAGACTTACAGCTTTCTCATTAAGCAAATTAATGAAAAAGATTAAAAATACTTTCTGGAAAGAATTCTTGGCACCTAAAAGTAACAGTTTAAACAATAATCAAGGAACAAAAGTAATGGCTGAGAATTGTACATTTTTTAAAGATAGTATTTTGGTTTGTACCAAATATTAACAAATATTTGTTAGTTACAAATATTTGTACAAGTATTAACAGGACCCTTTCACTTATCCAACACTTTTTCTAACAGGATCTACTTTTGTAATGTGATAGGCGTTTACACTTTTAAGTTAGACTGTCGAAGTTGGAATCCCTGGTTCACCTTTTAATATAACCTTGGGCATGTTTCTTCCTTTCTGCGCTTCATCTAGAAGATGCAAATAGTAACAACTCCTACCTCAATGTCGCTGATAACTAAATGATAGTGTGTGTAATGTGCCAATTAGTTTCCGGACTTATCAAGCACTTAATATAAGCTGTTGAGATGTGCTCTCCACCTTCAAACTAGGTTTGGTTAAATTCCCATTATAAGGATCTTAGGAATCATTTATGCATTTTCTGAAATCTGAAAATAACTTGACCACTATAATTCGTCAAAGGAGTTCAAGTGCCTCCTGCTCTGGGTGGTCATCCCTGGTCTCTTCAAATAAAAGGAAACTTTTCCCATTTCTTCATAAACCTTCGCAGGAACCTGAAGTATAAGTAACTTGGGTACCCTTGTCCTCCAAGCAGCCCTGTGATGCTGCAGATGCTCGGTCACTCAGGATGGGAATGGTCCAGGAGACCATTAAACCAGCGGTAGACAAACTCCACCCCAGGCGAAAATGGACAAGGGCGGCCCAACCTCAGCGAAAGAGAACGCAGAAGGAAGACACAACCCACTCTCCCGGATTCATCCTCCAGCTTGTTGCGTCCTAGAAAGGGCCAGGTGGCTGAGCGACGTCACGTGTTACGCGTAGTCATTTTCCCACGTCCCGTCCCTGCCCCCTCCCGGCGGGCCGCAGCAGAAGCGCACGCACAGCTCCGCTTCCGGGGGCCAGTCCTCACTACCCACAATGCTGTGCGATATCGACCTGTCGCAAAGGCCGCGTTTCGGCGGCGAGTGAGCGCCCAGCTTTCCGTGCGGTGCGGCAGCGACGGCGGCCCGCGTCTTCCGCCTCCTCCTGCCGCAGGGCCAGATACCCTGACGGTATCCAGGTGCGCTTAAGTCTGGCCGGTGCCACCAGTCTCCGCAATGCCCCCCAAGAAACAGGCTCAGGCCGGGGGCAGCAAAAAGGCGGAGCAGAAAAAGAAGGAGAAGATTATAGAAGTGAGTACTAGTCCCCTCCCCCCACTCAACGCCGCGAGCCCTCGGGGAAGCAGCCTCCCGGTTCCCTGCTCCTCAGCTCCTGCTTGCGTTTTCTGGGGCCATGTGTCCCTCCCTTTGGCTCTCTGTGGCCCACTGCCCCTTTTCTAACCCCCTGATGACGCTGTCTGCGTCTCATCACTATAGTGACGCTGCTGGCGCCCCCGCACCCTGCCTTTGCTTCTCCCACACGCCTGTCTTCACCGACCCCGCTGCGAAACGAGGTCCTCCCCGTCCCCCGCCCCAATCCCCTGTCCCGGTGCCTGCCACAGGGTTTTGTCCTTTGCTAGTTCTCAAAATTGAAGACGTTTCTGGGCTTGTGTTTAAAAAAATTCGCCGAACCACCTTGAGCCAGACTCTTAGGAAGGCCAACTCTTGACGAGCCTTGTGTTCGTTTTTTATTTACCCATCACCTAAGAGTAGTAGTTACGTCTTTGAGCCAGCAAATTACTACTTCGTTGGCTTTTTTGATTTATCTCTAAAGTATTTCAAATTCCTTAAAGAGTGGAGGCTTCTTTCAGGTCTCAACCCACGGTCTTGTACATGGCGCTTGATACCTATACTCTGAATTAAATTGAATAACGCTTTAAAAGAGATTGGGTTTCAGTGTTACAAGCTTTGTCAAGTGCTGTACTCGATTTTGTTTTATATATCTAGATATAGATAGATTTCTTCAGTGTATTGAACCTATAGCTCTTTAATAGCCAAGGAACGCAGTGTTCGTTCTTAAATGTTTTATATTTGTTTTTCAACTACTGTATTAATGGCGTTTCCTTAAGAGAACCATAGTTGAGAGTCCATAAACGTATCATATAGCCTTCAACAAGGTATTTTTTCCCTTGGTTCCTGTTGTTCTCATAATTAAAATTAATAGTTTCTAGTGCTTTGGATGTAACTGGGAAAAACCATGACCATTTTCCTGCATAAAGTATATCTGAGTATTGGACGGCCTTTTGTGGAATAGTTTTTATTAGAATGTGACCGAAGTGCACGTCAGGTGTTTTGAAATGAGATGTTTATTTATAAATGATTTTTAATGAACTTTACTGTTTGATTTAATTAACATGCGTGTGAAGACTTCTAGTAATTTTGGCCAGTATTGTTACTGCCAATTTGTACTATTTAAAACTCCCGTGAAGTAGCATAGCCAGAAGTTTATAGACTGATTGACACCTTCACACCTATGTCTGGTATCACATTTTGAACAATCTGGACTCCTGGCACTTAGGTAGATCTCTGGGGATGGGGATCTGATGACGTTCAGTACTATGTAAACCAAGGGCATTTTAGGGATGACATTTTGTCATTTTTTTTTACTGAGCTTGAATTAACATGGTAGACCATGATGCAAAGTAAAACTCTTGTACAGATGTGAAATTAAATGTTATATGACAATTTAAAGTATACTTTATGCATTATTGACCTTTAACTATAGTACCTCTTTATCAGCAGGAGATACCTCGAAGACCACCAGGTTATTCCTGAAACCTTGGGGTAGTACCGAACCTTTTATATATGTTTTCCCTATGTGTACATACTTATAATAAAGTTTATAAATTAGGTACAGTAAGAGAATAATGATAATAGAACAATTATAGCAACGTACTGTAATAAAAGTTATGCAAATGTGGTCTCTTTCTCTCTCATAACGAGTCTGATAACCTAGATGATTACCAAGTGACTGATAGGACAGCTAAGTGACTGGCAGATAGCATGTACAGTGTGTATATGCAGTATAAAGGGATGACTGACATCCCAAGTGGTAAGGCAGGAGATTCCATCATACTACTTAGAACAGCTCACAATTTACAACTTAATGAATTGTTTATTTCTGGAATTTTCTATTTAATATTTTCCAACCGCAGTTGACTGTGGGTGACTGAAAACATGGTAAGCAACTGCAGAGAAGGAGGACTACTTTATATACAATTATTTTACTTTTAATTGGTAGAACTGGTATTTTTGTTTTAAGGAATTGTACAAGAAAGTTATTTATAGTATCCCATCAACTGAAAATGATAGATGTATTATGACTCCATTAATCTCGTAACAGAATTACTTTTAAACTAAAGAGAAAGCAACTTTAGTTTCATTAATAAAGACTACCAAAGAAAAATGGAAAATAAGGTAGCTGCATTCTTTAACTGACAGTAACTATCTTAACTGAGTGGAGACATTAAGCCTGTATTTTTTCCCCACATTTAATCTACATGATGAGTGCTTTTTTAAAAAAATAATAGTAAGGTTTGTACGTTCAAGTGTGTTGCATGGATGTTTGGTGCCATGGGATTGGTCCAACAATATTGTGAATTGTAGTGTTAAGTTATATCATTTGTCTTGAAACTAGATTTATAGAGAATATTTTCGTTATCTGGCCTGGTGAGAAAACAATATATTCCACTTTATTAAATACTATAGGTGATTTTTTAAAACTTCCCTAAAGCCCTAGCAGGTCTCAATGGCTGTTACACGGGGTATTAAAGTTAAAATATATATAATAATGAACTTAATTGAAACTGGGTAAATACTGGTTATTGATCTCTATCATAATTTTTGTGGAAAAGTTTTTTTTTTTTTTAGTCTATTTTAACTTGTAAGACTAATACTTATTTCAGAGTCTGGTTAATTTTAGGAGATTTTATAGAAATAGGACTGAAAATTCTAAGTTGGTCAAAACTATTAATTAAGTAGAACATATGCTTTTAAGCAGCACTTTTCCGTAAACTTTAAATAAGTGATAGCCCTACCTACCTGTACCCTCTTCTGTACCTCTATTGGTTCCACTTCCACACCATAGGTGCTTACTATAGAAAAACATGTAGCTTTTGAGAATTCTAAGCAAAGGAAGTAAACAGAGGCAAGAGAGGCAGCATAATTTAATGAAAAAGCAGCAGCTTTGGGATCAGATAGACCTGGATTTGAGTCCCATATTTCAAATTAAAATTTCCAACACTAGTTTTAGGCATGTTACATGACCTATCTGAACCACAGTTTCTCATTAGCAAAATGGAGCTAAATTACTATTACAGAGCTGTGGATTAAATGAGATGACTTACTTAAAGTATCTCATATATGGTATATACTCAATAAATGGCAGCCGTCGTTATTAATATCATAAATAAGAACTAGTTAGGGGAAATAATCAGACTGACCGGCACTGTCTATACAGGGCTTACTTTCTGTCACTTGAAATAATTTATATTGTCTGCATTTTTCCTTTCCTTCTTTACACTCTTCAGAATTTCATGAGTTCATTTGCATTAAGTATTTTCTTTCTGAGACAAGGATATCAAAAAGGGTTATGGTTTTGTTAGACATTCACCCAATTGTCCTGAACAGCATATACTATTTGCTTTACTTATAGCTAAATTTTGATAAATTGAAGTTAACTTTTAGAAATGGGACGTTTGGTTATGGGAAGAGGGAAATAATCTTTGGGTTTAAGGCAAGCAAATGGGACAAGGTATCCAGCAAGGCTTGTAGCAGCAAGAAAGTAGTAATACAGACCATTAGAGATGGGATCCAGGTGTATAAAGGATGGAGAAAGAGAAATGATTAGTGACAATGAAAAACAGCCAAGGTCAACTGTTGGTTACTTGAAACTGAATTAATCAGCTGCAGTATCCAATTGCATGGATGGACAACAAAAACACATTAGACAGTGCATGTGTGGGGGAAAAACTGAGTTAAAACAGTGTAAGGCTGTTTACCCTAGTGTCCCAAAAGATAGACCCCCCCAGTTATCTTGGAGCACTGTTCAATATCGACCTGCCCTCCTATCCCTTCCTTTTTTCAAACATCTTTTAAGAGTGGAGACCAGCCTGTAAAAGAAGCAGGATTACATATGGGGGTAAAGGTGAGGAAGAAAGGGTCAATTTTAAGTGAAATCTGGAATTCACTTAGGGTTAAGGCTCTTGGAGCCTCAAAGGACCATCCTTTTCTTAGCATTACTACCTGTTTTAAACTCCTTTGTATTCAGTTTCCCAAGTCTGAAACACACATACTGTTCCTTCCTTATAACCTAACCTTTGGACTCTTAAATTCCTAGTTTTATCTTAACCATGATTTGAAGTTGATTGTAACCTCTGGTCTTCCCACTTCATATCTTCCCTCCCCCAAATCCAGATTAATCCTTAGGTAAGGGTCTGTCCTAAAGAAAAAGAGAGGAAGCCCCTTTGAAGTATTCTAAATTGCACACCATCTGTTTTCAGGAGGTATCGTTGGTATCCCAGATCCATAGTCTGGTATTTAGAAAGCTTTTTGTGTACCAAAGGGCCCAATAACCTAACCAGGTTTCTCTGGGAAGTAGTTTTTCATGGTGAAAAGAACAAAGACTTTGCTAGGAGTCAAATGTACCTTGGTTCATATATCATGCGTGTCACTTAATAATTAACACTTCATGGGCTAGACACAATTCTCAGTGTTTTGGGGAACTGGAGAGAAGAGAAACAAGCCACCTGCAAGTGATAACTTTACACAGCTACACAGCTCTTTCAATTCTCTCAGTGAGATAAGTATTATTATCCTTTTTACAATTGAGAAAACAGCAGTTAAATAACCTGCCTAAGATTACTAAAATGGAAAGCGGCGGAGCTAGGATTCAAACCGTGGAAATCTGATTGTAGAGTCCTTGCTGTTAACCACTATACTGTACTGCCTTTTTGTAGTAAGTCTTTTAACTTTCACAACAATCCCAAGAGGTTAGTGTGAGACCCACTTTACAAATAACAAAACTGGCAAAGAAAGCGAATTGCCCATTTCTATTTGAGATTAGAACTTGGGAAGTCTCACTACAGCCATGCCACCCTGACCATGCCCGATCTCATCTGATCTTGGAAGCTAAGCAGATTTGGGCCTGGTTAGTACTTGAATGGGAGACCACGTAGAAAGACCAGGTGCTGCAGGCAGAAAAAAGTTAAAAAAACAAAAAACAAAAAACAAAAACCTTGAGCAGTCTCACTCCAGAGCTTATACACTTAAATCATTACACTATACAGCCCGCCCCTTATTAACAATGTTACTTCAAAAGAATTGAACATTTCTGAATTTCAATATCCATATTTACAAGGTGAGGTAATAGTATATTGTAGGATTGTTATATTAGTATATTGTATATTAATATATTGTAGTATATTAATAGTATATTGTAGGATTCAATGAAATATATATTCAAGAGTTTATGTTTAATAACTGCTAGATAAATAACTGTCCTCATTTGTGGAAAAAATAATTTCTCAGCTCTAAACTAATTAGAGACTTTAAGAACACAACTCATTATCTCTTTAGACTGGTTAATTATGTGCTAAAGCCATGAGTGTAATTAACTTGAAAAACTTTCTTGTTTGAGATCTGGACCTCATACACCTCTCCTGTTGTCATGAGTACTTTCTTTTCTAGCTGGTCAGGTCCCCTTGAAGGACTTACTTATTCCTAAGTCTTCATATATTAATATCTCCCTATTTGGTCTTCTTTATTCATAGCTTTCTTCTCTGTAGTTACATGTGGGGCATGGGTTGAACCCCCGATGTGGCTTCTCTGGTGAGGTATATGTAGATGTTGCACTTTGATCCTGGTAATACTTTCATCTAGAGTTCTCCCTTCCAACCCAAACGAGAGTTCACTGTTTGTAAAAGCAAAGTATGGCATTTCACACCTGGTTGCTGCATATGATCAGCTCTCTCCATGACCATTTTTTCTTCTAATTGGATCAAGTGTTAAACTTTCTTCTATATAAAAACAAAGAAAGTCAACCATAAAAAGCTCAATGCAGAGAATTTCAGCTTGCATGTATGTGCCTCCTACCTTTTTTTATATGCATAGGCTATAGAAAATTCATGTAGAATTTTGTAATATGATAGGATATTCAAACATAAGATAGGCTTTTAGGGAGAATTAAAGTTTTGGTGTAGATAGATATAGATATGATGAATAAAGAAATATTTCCCAATGAAAAATAACCTTTTAGAATTAAAACCCTCTTTAACTCTGTGATCTTAAGAACATTGAAAGATTTATTTTATTGGTTTTGAGATGCTGCAAATTATGTAAAATTGATGTTTTCAAATACTGATCCTATTAATACTGTTTTCTATTTCCACTTGTCCACATAGGAGTATAAGTGTTCTGTACCTAAAACACTTTCTTCCTTTTACCCTGGCCCTTCCCTTAGAAGTAATACGAAAATAAAAGCTTTAAAATAGCTTCTTTGTTTCAGCTTAAATGCCTCTCAGATGGTTCAGGTTACTTTCAAAAGTAAAGAAAGACCTATTTGCCTCTTCTTTCTTTCTGAAACCCATCCATAAACAAGAGAATAAGAAAGAAATACAAACTTTGTCTTGAAATTAGGAGGCATCTTCAATTTTGAACTTCAGTATATGAAGATTGATAGTGGATGAGTTTGTTTCTGGCTTAGTAAAGTAGAGCAGTCAGGTCTGAGTGCCCACCTAGGACTGTGCCATTGAGAAGCAAGTGGATTTGCTCTGCAGAATTCTGGAAAAGCTCAGTAATGGGAGGAGTAGATAATTCAAAATGCAAGAGGTTGAAAATGGGGAGGGGAGTATTGTTAAAGTATAAGAGTAGCTAATAGTTATTATCTGCTACCACTCAGCTCAGTGATTACCCCTGCAGGAAATAGGTGAAGGGAATAAATCAAGAGGCCTCTCTGCTTTTGGAACTTTAGGCACAAAGGAGATAGGGAGAGGTGGTTAAAATGTGAGCCCGAAAATGGCCACTAAGAAGTCTGTGCGGTAAACCAAGAGATGCCCTCCCCTTCCTGCTCTCTCCTCTTGTCCTTCAAACAGGTTTATTGCTTTCCCAGCTAGAGAATCCTCCTCCCGAGAAACAGAAAAAACGGGAAAAAAAACTTCAGATACCAGTATTTGGTGGTATCCTGACATCTTTGCCACCCATTCACCTTAGGGTGAAGCCCACTAGTCAAACCTCCTGTATTCATTTCCCAGGGCTGCCATAACAAATTCCACAAACTGAGAATCTTAAAACAACAGAAATATATTCTCTCACAGATGTGGAGGCTAGAAGTCTAAAATTAAGATGTAGGCAGAGCAGTCCCCCCTCTGAAGGCTGTAGGGAAGATCTCTCCTTGCCCCTTCTTGGTTTCTGGTGGTTTCCTGCATTCTTGGTATTTCTTGGCTTATAGCTGTAGCACTCCAGTCTCTCCCTCTTTCACATTGCCTTCTCTCTGTGTCCTTTCCTCTCCTTATAAAGATACCAGTTATAGGATTTAGGGCCCACCCAAATCCAATGTGATCTTATCTTAATTTATTACATCTGCAAAGCTCTATTTCCAAATAGTCACTTTCTGAAGTTCTAGACAGACATGTATTTTGCAAGTATGCTATTTTCAACCCACTACAGCTCCCAAACACACACTTGCAATGGCTTCTAAGTGTTTCTGTACTGTATAATTATTAAATAGGAATAGATAGCCAAAGATTACAATTAGTGTGCTGCACATATGAGCATTCCATAAGTGATAACTGCTATTATATTAATATATAACTTTCCCACATTATATATTAATATTCCAAATTTAAATAACATGTTGGTTTCTAGTTAGGTGTACTTCAGTTTTAATATTTCCAATTTAACAACAGCTAAGAATGTAAACTTTATAGTAGTTTGAGTTCTTTAAATTTAATTGTTTTGAGAGGATAACTCTATCCCAAAAACCAGTCCAGAACTAATGTGTTGTCTTATGCAGTATTCTCCAAAACATGTTCAGTGGTATTTAATTCCTCAGGATACTCCCAAGAAAATGTATTCTGAGATAGAATAAGATTTGGAATTGCTGCCTACTGTATCCCTTCTAGTAAAGGCTCTAAGATATCTGGTGCTGAAAATTAAAAAAAAACAAAAACATGTTAACCAAGCATTTTCCTAAATTCATTTGACTGTAATACTTCATATCCTAGTACAACAGTTCTGCAGTCCTGTGGAACTAATGTTCCAAAATACTGGAAAAAAGTATCATAGAGTGCCAAGCTTAATGATCTATATTTGTAAGTATGTATTGAATTGTAAAGAATTCTGGGTGATGTTTTGAGGTCATAAGTTGCCTTGATTTGATGTTTTAGTGTTTTCCATGTCTATGTATAGTATAAGAAAGAATAATTTTCTTACCAACAAGTAAATGAAAGAATGATTTTTAGGTAGGACTGAAAAATATAGATAAGAAATTAATATAAATTGCTAAGATATTTTTATATTCTTTCTCACTTAGGACAAGACTTTTGGTCTAAAGAATAAGAAAGGAGCAAAGCAACAGAAGTTTATCAAGGCTGTCACTCATCAAGTTAAATTTGGTCAACAAAATCCACGTCAGGTAGATACAATTTCTGCATTTTCTTCATGTGGATGTAATAGTCTGTTACATATGAAAAGTATTTGGTATTGTAATCATATTTCAAATTGGAATCCTACTCTACAAACTTTTCTGTATCTTGTCTGTGTTACTCAGCAGTACCTTTTAGATGGTATTTCTCCAGCCATTTTGATATAGCTCTTAATTTATTCTAATGTCCGCAGACTATTCTATTATGTGGATGTACTATATGCTTCCATTTCACTGTTTATAAGTGATCACTTTGTTTTCAGCTTTCTGACTCTAAGAATAGTACTATAAGAAATATCCTTATACATGTGTTCTTACATGCATTGTGCTTTTCTTTTTGCGGCATAAATGATCAGATGGCACATTTCTATATCAAGGGAAGTGGATTTCTAATTTTAATAAATTTGATCACTTTCCACAGAGATCATAATATTTCACATTTTCATTTGCAGTGCATGAGTTATAAGTACTAAAGTTCTTTTTAATGTTTTTCAATCTGATAAGTATGAAATAATACCTTATTTTTACTTTGTTTCCCTCGCTACTATTGAGTTTCTTTTAAAATGCTTGTTAGCTATTTGGGTTTGTACTTCTCTGACTTGCTTATTCAGATCTTTTGCTTTTTTTCTTTCTCTTGTCAGTTTATGAGACAACTTTTGTGTGTATTACAGATAATCTGTGATGTTCCTTTTACATTTTGCTGTATAATTTTCAGTTTTCGCATTATCAGATATGTTTAGGTTTTTTTATATATATGATTATATATATAGATATATTTATATATGGTAACTGCCATTAGATTATTTGTTTTTCCTAGATTTTTTAATAATTATTTTCAGTCTGTATTTGTCTTAAAAATTTATTTCACTAAGTTCTTTCAAATGAATAACTACTTATATTAGCATCATTTATCCCATTGAATTGAAATACTACTATTGACATATATTAAAGACTCAGATATGTTAGGATCTATTTCTGGATTTCTGTTTAATAAAGTAAATAAATTCTATTTATCGTGTACCCCTCAGCCAGTTTTACATTGATTTTGATTGTAGTGGCCTAGTAACATTCCATTAGCTATTAAGGCAAGTCTTTCTCCCAAATGTTACTTCTTTTCTATTTTTCTTGGCTTTTTCTCAGGCATTTATTCTTCCATATGAATTTTGAAATTATTTTATTTGTTAGCAACTCATTTAAAAAAAGTTTAGCCCTATTTTCTTCAAGTTCTTTAGATCTTTCATTTTATTAGAGTTTAAGATTTTATAGACACAGATTTTTATTTTAAAAAGTACTTTTTTCACCATACTATCTCCCTTTCCTTAACTTTTGAAAACACTTTTTTCATTGGAGAATATCAATACATATTTATGAGATTGTTAACCCCTATCTGAAACAAATATCTCACACATGCTGTCTACAAATTAGTATTTTCAACACTTTTCTTTTTCTTACACACAGCTTGATTTCTAAAAGCAAAAGCTATTGATCCTTCTACACCTGGTTTAATAAAAATGTATGCTCAGGCCTTGGAATCAGTTCAACTTGGGTGTGAATCTAACTTATTTGTTACATGATCTTAAATTATTTAGTAACATTGTTCTTTACCTGTATAGTGGAAGGGCAGGTACCCTTGCAAGGTTCCTTTGGTGGTTAAATGAAAATATAATGTAAATCTTAAGTCATAATACAGGTATGTAAGAAGAATTCACTTTCTTCCCTTATTCAACCTCTTCCCCCTCCCTCTTTTTTTTTTTTCCCCCCCTAATGGGAAGTATGTTGATGGATGATTTTAAATGTCATAGACCTGAGAAAGCCATAAAATTTGTGGTGGTAGTTAGGTTTGGTAGTATATTCAGTATATTTTATGATTTTGGGGCTACATGGCCCTTTATCTGCAAACATGCGGTACCTAACCACTGTATTTAATATTGGAAATGAGCAACAGTTCTGCTTTCAAAGCTGGGCAAGAGATGCTTCTTCCTGGGCCCTCTGCTATACAGGGTGACTCGACTCTGTCACTTCCAGACATAGCTCTCCTCACAAGCAAGGATTCAATGAGGCCAAGGATATGTGCCCACCCAGAGTGTGCACCACCCTCCCCACAATGCCTCGGGGCCTGCAGAGGTCATGTTAACCCCACATCCATCTTAGAGTGTGCGGCGTTGCCAGTATGCCTGAAATAATCAAAGGCAGGATGTGTGCTAGGAGTGTGGACAGAGCCTGGATCCATACCATGTCCTCCCCTGTACCTTCCACCTTCCTGCAGACACTTGGTGGAATGAAATTCAGGGTGGCGAGAGGACGAGCCAGGAGACTCTTGTTTTACTGACATGCCTTAGTGTAGAACTTCATGGGGCATGAGCATTTTAAATTTTAACCTCTCATTCCAGGTCATTAGGTATATTTGTCAAGTAGGGGTACACACCATGTTTTATTTAACGATAGTTTTTTTCTAACTTATAAATTTTACAAAAATGGTCTGTAGGTTTCTGTTGTACTCTTGCTCTGGGCCCCACAAATTTTTGAAATGAGCCTAATGAGCAAAGGATACTTTTACTAAAAATAAAATGACTTTAAAAATTTTTTCTCACTATTTTTCTGTTTAAACACATGATCAAAGTCAGGATTTGGAAAGTCTTTAACTTAATTATAGCATTTAACCATTCCTTTCTTAAAATTTCCTCTTCTTTGAATACTTTTTTTGTCCTGGATTTCTGCCTATTTCTTTCAAGTTTCTTGGTCTCTTCAATGGGCTTTTAAGGTTCTGTTGGCTCATTTAACATTGCTATTCTTCAGGGAACTGTCTTCTGTTCTTGTCACTTTTTATGCTGTCCTTGAGTAATCTTACATACACTCAAATCAATTACCTGTAAGCAGCTATTTCTAAAATCTTTATCTCAAAGCAGACCCTCTCTCTAGAAGTCAAGATTCATATAGCTGCCTTCTATGCTTCACCTAGATGCTCTATAAGCATCTCATACCCAGTATGTCTAAAATGAGCTCATCTCCACCGTCTACCTTGAAACCTCCTGTATTCCCTGTCTTGTTTAACAGTACTAACCATACATATGATCATCCTCCTAGACTCTTCCCTCTCCCTTACACCTCATGTCCAGTCAGTTAGTCCTGTCAGTTCTATGTTCTTAAGAGCACTCTCTTGCCATTTTTCTCCATCCTTGCTACTAATGCCCATTATAAGCACTGTTTTTTGCCTACAGCAATTGCATTAGCCTCCTAATTGTCTTTGCCTTTATTCTCAGGCTTCTTCTAGTCCACCCTTCATGGAGTTGCCATTGTGATCTTTATAAAATACAGTCTAATTGTATAACTAGCTTACTTTAAACCCCTGGTCTTACTCTGTTGCCTACTGATACAGTCCAAACTTCTCATCAGTGTTTCTGATACCTTATTTCTTTTGGTCCCTGTATCTTGCCTTGGCTGGCTCTCTCAGCAGTCCTTTTGTTGTCCATCAGAAGAATTCATCCATAAATTAGTAGGTCATTCTAATTTTCTTAGGCATTTAGGAATTCCTTGTTCCCAGAGTACCATGTGTTATATGATAGTCGTTGACATGTCTGTCTTCACACTAGATTCTGAGCTTCTTTAAATAAGCGTCTTTGTCTTTTCATCTTTGTATTCCCTGTCATCTAACATAGGACCTGACATATAAATATTTGGATGAATCCTCTAATCATATTAGGTATGTAAATTGTGTGCCTGAAACTATGTCATGTTTGTTTTGTTTAATCTCCCACATTGACTTGGCCCTTTATTTTTCCACAAGGCTACCATAGGTATTTTGGGTGGTACAATTCTTTATCATGTGGGACTGCATTTCAGGGTATTTGCATCTCTGGTCTGTAGAACATACCTATGCATTTCTAGGGAGTGGGTTGTTACAAGAAGAAAATCCTAGGCGAAAACTATTTGCTAAAAATGCTGGGCATGTAGTAAATGCTTAATAAATGCTTATCGCTATAAGCTTTTGAATATGCTTTTAACTTAGCATGGTACCATTAAAGATTTTTTTTTAAAGTAACTGCCACAAGATTGAGCAGTTTTGTTTAATAGTTTAACCATGCCGTTTAATATATACTGAAAGACCATTATAAAACTGACATTCAGAGGTAAGGACTATGTATGTGTGTGTGTGTGTATGTATATGTATATATAAATATATAAAAATATGCAAATATCTTTGTTATGTTAGTGTTATATATATTACTGTATAGTGAAAACAATTTTACTGTATGAAATCAAATTTTTATATTGTATCTGGGAATATTATAGGTAGCACAGAGTGAAGCTGAAAAGAAATTGAAGAAAGATGACAAGAAGAAAGAATTGCAAGAGCTAAATGAGCTATTCAAACCTGTAGTTGCAGCTCAAAAAATAAGTAAAGGTAAACTTTAAATTTCAGAAATATTATTTCTATCAAATGTGATTCATGCTTAAAAACTCTTAATTTTTATGTATATTTTCTTCATATCATAAGCTAATTGTGTCTGCTATGAAAATGGTACTCCCTTTGTCAAAATTATCAATTACTTTTTTATGATTCCTCTGTGTATATGCACAGCTATGTCATTGTTCAGGTTTTAAGTCCAGCCATTAGTCTCACCACTTAAGGCAAAATTAAGGATTTAGATAGTGTACTACTAGATATATAATATCTAATCTTTGGTAGTACCCAAGGCAATCCTAGGGTCATATAAACTGTAAGTCCCAAAGTCTCGACAGTATACCTCCATTTATATTTCTCTTTTGCCTCCTGCCTCTTTAACTGCTACTAGACAAGTGACTATGGAATAACTTATGTTTTTGTTCGGTTTCCCATCTCCTATCCCCTTCTTTGGTAAGAATAAAAGAAACAAAAATAGATATAAAATGTTATAGAAAGAACTTGTAATGTCTTACTAACACCCATAAGTGGTATTTTCCTCTCATGTCGGTGAGTGGAAAATAACAAGTTAATCAAAAGTTATTAATCTCACATAGAAACTGTACTTTATGATCTAGCAGATTGAGATACAAAATACCATATGCCTTTTGACATAGGTGCAGATCCCAAATCTGTGGTATGTGCATTCTTCAAGCAAGGACAGTGTACTAAAGGAGATAAGTGTAAGTTCTCTCATGACCTGACTCTGGAGAGAAAGTGTGAAAAGCGAAGTGTTTACATTGATGCAAGAGATGAAGAACTTGAAAAAGGTATTTTTTAAAAAAATCTTCTTGTAGATAGGTGTCTATTTTTGTTCATTATTACTAAGATATTTAGTAACTTGAATATTTCACTCTTGGTAAGACAGTGTTTGTAAAAAGTAATGTTGTTTTTCATAAAATCTGAGTTTACTACATTATGCCATAAATGAAGATTTTAAAAACCAGTGACCTATTTTGGATTTCTCTCTCACCATTTCTTATAGTACTACTTTTCCATTTCCTAAACTACTTAGGATTTTAGTGAAAAATCTCACAACACTGTTTATTCTCATCTTTGGTGTTTTAAAGAAAATGTGTTAAGTCACGAGTCTTATAATACAGGTTTCCTGTCTAAGCAGGTGTGCAGCGAATGTATTTTTGGAACAGTAGATAAAACTACAATATTTAGTCTTCATGTCTCTTTATTTAGATACTATGGATAATTGGGATGAGAAAAAACTGGAAGAAGTAGTGAACAAGAAGCACGGTGAGGCGGAAAAGAAAAAACCAAAAACTCAAATAGTATGTTCTTTTCTTGAATTGAGTGGTATTTATCATTAGGGACAATTATGTGGCAAGGTATTGCTGCTCTCTTATACTGGATTATTCTTTAAGTTATTGGATCTTTCCATAAAGATAAGATGCGTCAAGTTTTGTTTTTTGGAATTTACAAGTATATAAGTTATACAAAATTAGATTTCTGTTCAAAAGTAACATTTGAAAACCATGTGACTGTAGTCCTAATGCTATTTTCTGAGGAGATCGTACTTTCTCAGATGTGGATGAACACAATCACATATTCAGATAAGAATTCTTTCCTCATTTTTTGTGCCAAATGAATGGCAGGAGAACTATTAAACTAACCCTCTTAATAATTTATTCTGTTTTAATGGTAGGGAGACTTTTTAAATCACAAAGTTGAAAATATTGTTACATATGAATTGCAAAATGAGTTTTTGGTAGGTAATGGCTTTAGTATTCCAGGAAGTATACTTTTAAAAATTGATGCCTTATTTCTCAGACCCTGCATTCATGTTCACAATCTTGATTTATAGCACAGTTACAGTGGAAAACCCTGTGTGTGCTAGAAAAATTCAAAATACTAGTTTTACTTACATCTGTTCTATTTCCTCAGGAAAAGAATATTCTTTAGTGAATTTTTCTCTTCTTATTTGCAGAGTTTATTACCTAAGGCTTGCACCCATTCATGTTTTGAAGAGTCACTATCCTTTGTGTTCCTTTTGTACCTTGCTTCCTTCTTAGATATAAGAAATTGTCTATAATTTCAGATAATTCAAATAGTGTTTACATCTGCATGTGATTAGTTTTAGGGAAA